GTTGGGTGGTCAATACGGTGCGGGGTTTTTTTTTGGTTTGGGCCTGCCCCCCCCCCCCCCCCCCCCCCCCCCCCCCCCCGCCCCGGTCCTCGCCTGGATGAGGATAAGTCACAGCGGCCGGCCGATGCTTTCCGAGCTCTGGGCGCTCTCCGTGCGTTCGCTCACCCACAGGAGAGCTACGTTGGACCCCCATTTTATAGATGCTGAAACAGAGGCCCAGAGTGACGAACTTGCTCGAGGCCATACAGCCAGGAACAGGCAGAACGAGGGTCCGAACCCTGGGGTCTGGCTCCACGGTCCACGATCTCACTCCTGCTCCCGGGCTCTCTCTCTCACCCATGGGACCGGCACCGGGGCCCCAGGACCTGCCCTGTGACGACGCTCAGAGCAGGCTTTGCCCTTCGCACACAGGATCAGGGCACTTCCTGCACCGGCCTCCACCCGCGTATCCCTCGGCCACGCTCCCGCTGCCTCTGTGCCTCGGTTCGTGCTGCTTCCTGCACTGGGAATGTCTTTCTGGTTCCTTCTCGCTTAGTCCGGTGCGGCTCAACCCAGGCATCACCTCCCTGCCTCCCCACACCCTCTCCGGGGTCCCTGGGGCTCCCATCTGCTGCCTCCGTTGCCGTGACCCCTTTGCGTGTCTGTCACCCCCAGGCCGGGGGCTCTGTAAGGTTCGGGACCCGAGGGGCTGTCTAACCCAGGGCTGGGCACCCCCCAGCTCCTGTGCCGTTGAGAATTGAGAACTCACACGTGCCAAGAAGCCCCGCTGACTTGTTAGCCCCAAGGCCAGGTCCAAGCCTGTGCGGTATCTGCCTGTGGACAGGGTACTCAAAGCCCCTCCCCGGCCCACCACAGTGTTCCAGAGTGCCCCATGCCTCGCTGGCATTTACAGAGTGAGCGGCCCACAAAGGGCCAACGTCTGCCCCTTCCTGGGCACGGCGGGTGGAGTAACGCCCCAGAGATGTGCATGCCCTAATTTACCCGAGGACTGTGATGTGCTAAGGTCAGGGGGCCTGAGATGGGGAGGGGCCCCTGGGCTACCTGGCGGCCCGGTGTGATGGCAGGGGGGGTGTCCTCACCCAAGAGAGGCAGGGGGCCGGAGTCAGATTGCAAATGCTGCACTGTTGCCTCAGGATGGGGGGAAGGGGCCGCCAGCCAAGGGATTCAGGCAGCCTCTGGAAGGTGAAAAAGACAAGGAGCAATTCTCCCCTGGGCCCTTCCAGAAAGGAACGGAACCAGTCCTCGATTTTAGCCCGTAAGACCCACTGTAGACGTCTGACTTTTTGGAACCGTGAAGGAATACATTTCAGTTGCTATAAGCCACCACGCGGCCGTCTGTCACGGCAGCAATGGGAAGCCGATACCCCTTGTGACTCGGGGCAGACAACCCCCCTCTCTGGCCAGCGGCCTCCTGGTGCCTGAAGTGGGTGACAGGTCGCAGTGAGGCCTGAGTCCAAGCACGGACTCAGTGCCTGGCACCGAGTAAGCGCCGTTTAAAAACTGGCTGTATCAGGAGTCCTCCCTCACATGAAGGTTCGGGGTGGGGAGTCCTCCCTGGAGACAGGCACAAGCCACACCCTTGTGAGCTCTGAGACGACGTTGCTTCTACCTTCCAGACTGAATTTAAAGTGGGGGGGGGGCAGTGACAAGATATGAGTTACTTCTGGCATCCTCCCTGGCACATCTGGTTGAGCCAACTGACCCAGCTCTGAAACTCCGTGACTTGATGCTTTTAAAAAGAATGCTCTCTCCCCAAAGGCATTATCTACAGACTGGCGTTTTCACAAAGGTGTACGCGTGTCTGCTGAGCACCCGCTGTCTGCTGAGCACCTACAGTGGGCCGAACGCCTACCGGGTACCAGACCCGGTGTGGGTTGGATGCGGCACAGCGCCTCTCAGGGTGCCTCTTGTTCAAGAGCGGATGACACGCGGCCACAGAAGAAAACAGAAGATGAGGCAGGCGTGTGAGGGGATGGGAACACGGGCGCTAAGGTTTCTGGAGGGGTTTCTTCTATCCAGATCAGTGGAAGGACTGGAAACAGAGTGAGGAAGCCTGAGGCTGGTTTTCATCACCCCACGCTGCTCTCCCCACCCCTCCCCTACGAGTGGGGGTGGGAAAGACTCACTCCCAAGCTGGGGAGCAGGGAAGATGGCTCGGCGAGGCAGGGCCTTCGACGCGCTCTCGGAGCGGACCAGTTCGATCCCCCTGGGGTCGACCCAGGATAAAGAAACCTGCCGGACCTTCTGGTACCTCCCCGAGCGCCCCGCGGGAGCAGCCCCATGCCGGCCGGATCTCGCTCCCCGACTGGCTGCCGGGAGAGGAGACAGGCCGGGCGGGGAGGCTGGAGCTCTGGGCACGGTTTTCCAAAGGGCCCCAGTGGAAAAACATCTAAAACCGACCCAAACTGGACGTGCTGCACAAGAGATCGGAGAAGCCAGCGAGAACCCAGACACGGGCTGGCATCCAGCGGGCCTGGGTGGCCAGACGGCTCCAGAAGTCACCGCCGAGGCCCCAGGACAGCCCCGCGGGGCTCCAGGGACAGACACAAAGGGAAGACAGCGGCAGCCCGCAGCACTCGGCCTCCCCGGCCGCCACCGGCCTGTCCGGAAGCTCAAAGCTGAGTCTTTCTGGATGCGGGGTTATGTGAACAGCAAAATGGCAATGCCAGCCAGCCCCACGGAATCCGGCCAGCCTGGAGTGGGGGCAAGGAAAGTAAGTCTCACGGCCAAGGAAGCACGCCGCTGG